AAACATGAGCTCCTGCACCCTCCCGCTACACGTTCCTCCTCAGGTCTTCGGGGGGGGCACTTTCCAGAGGACAGCTAAGCATCAAGCCCCTTGTGCTGTGGGTCTGCAGTCAATGTAGGCCCAAAACCAGGGGGCAAGGACGGCTGATACCCCTCCCTGGAGGACATTAGCAAACCAGGTAGGTTTCTGCAACAGATTACTGCTAGTTGTCACGGTCACCATCACAGGGACTAGCCTTCACTCCAGATGGTGAACTGAATTTACATCCCACCAAAGCTGCTGTGAAGTCAGGCCCTAGGACTAGGCCTGGGAGTTGGCTAATCTGGCGACATTACCATGACACTACCATTGCTTTGAGGGACTCCAGGGTTTGGGTGAATGACAGGATCGAGGCCTTATACTGACGTAAAGTGGTCACACTGCAGAGTTCGGAGAGTTTATTACCGCTGCCTGCGACTAACGGTAAAGGGACGTGTCTGAATCTTGAAGACAGTACTTCTCAATTTTCATTTCAACTTCTTGCCGTTCCCATCTGAACTCGATCTGCCTCCTGACGCCCAGCAATAACTGGCCTTCACAAAACCACCACCCTCGCAGCTCAGGAATTAGGAGCAAGGGTAGGCCATTCGGCCCCTCACACCTGTTCTGTTGTTCGAGAGAGCATGGCTTTCTACTTCCCTGACCTCCCTAGTTGATCAAAAGTCCTACTCGGCCTGGAGTGTATTCACTGACCCAGCCTCCACTGCTCCATGTGGGAGAGAATTCCCAGGACTGATGACTCTCAGAATAAATTCTTCCTCACCTCAGTCTTAAATGGGAGACTCATTCGTTTTAAACCGGGTCCCTCGTTCTAAGCTCTTTCACTAACAGCAACACCATCTCACCATCCGCACTGTCAAATCCCCATTCAGAATCTCATTTCAGAAAACTCAAAGAACATCGCTCCATCAGAGTCTGGCTCTGAGCCTCCCTCCCCATTGGCCCTCACCTATGCCCCCTGCCTCTGCCATCTCAAATGTCTCTCCCCCACGACCCCGGCTTACATGTGGCAGTTAGGAGAGAGGCAGGAGTCGGTCAGGTACTGTGCAACACACTGATTGACGGTAGGACCCCGGGAAGCACCGAGGAACAGAGGGGGTCACGGTGTGCACATCCACCAGTCCCTTAAGGCAGGACAGTGGCTCAGTGGTTAGCACTGCTGCCTCACAGCCCCAGGGACCCGGGTTCGATTCCACCCTCGGGCGACTGTCTGTGTGGAGTTTGCGCATTGTCCTCGTGTCTGCATGAGTTTCCTCCGGGTGCTCCGGTTTCCCCTCTCAGTCCAAAGATGTGTGGGCTAGGCAGATTGGCCTTGCTAAATTTCCCACAGTATTCAGGGGTGGATAGATTAGGTGGGTTATAGGGGAATGGGTCTGGGTGGGATGCTCCGAGGGTCGGTGAGGACTTGTTGGGTCGAAGGGCCTGTTTCCACACTGTAGGGATTCTATGAGTATCAGGAGAGATGGATAAGTTAGTTCAGAAGGCATATGGTATACTTGCCTTTATTAGGTGAGGCATAGAGTTTAAGAGCAGTAGGTTATGCTGGAACTGTATAAAATGTTGGTTAGGCCACAGCTAGCATACTATGTGCAGTTCTGGAATCCAATTATAGGAGGGATATGATACCCTCTCCAGCGCTATTTACCAGGATGTCGCCTGGGCTGGCGAGTTTCGGTTATTGAACAGACCGGCCGTGGATTCCAGTCTCCTCCTCATCACCACAGATGTGCAATCCCTCTACACGTCCATCCTCCATCAGGATGGTCTCGGGACCTTCCACTTCTTCCTGGAATTGAACAGCCTCCCATCCTAACCCTATCCCAGCCTGCTTCTAACTCCTCAAAATCCACAAACAGGGCTGCCACCTGTTCCCGTCCCGAACAACTCACCTTTTCCCACCTTAACTATTTTTCCTCCCCTTGTCCGCCCTACGCACATCTGAGATTCTTCCGACACCTTACTTCAGTTTCAGAATTTACAGTTCACAGGCTCCAGCCGCCTCCTCTTTACCATGGACGTGCAATCCTTTTACACGTCCACTACCCAGTCAGGATGGTCTCCGTTTCTTCCTGGAATAAAGGCCTGAACAGTCCCCATCCATCACCCTCCCTCCTCTGTCTGGCTCAGCTCGTCCTCACTCTGAACAAATTTTCCTTTAAATCCTCTCATTTTCTTCAGCTTAAAGGTGTGGCCATGAGTACCCGCATGGACCCCACTCATGCCTGTCTCTTCGTGCGGCATGTGGAACATTTCCCCTTCCAATCTCCCCACAAATCTTCATCCAATACATCAATTACATCATCAGGGCCGCATCCCTATCTCGTACTGAACAGGAAAAATTGATCAATTTTGCTTCCAATTTCCACCCGGCTCTCACCTTCACCTGCTCCATCTCCGACTCCTCCTTCTCTTCCTTGATATCTCCGTCACCTCCTCCAGCCCCCTACACCCCGTCCCTATCTCTGTAACCCCCCACCCCCCCTCCCTATCTCTGTAACCTCCTCCACCCCTTACACCCCTCCCAATCTCTGTAACCTCCTCCACCCCTTACACCCCTCCCTACCTCTGTAGCCTCCTCCAGCCCCTACACCCCCCCCATCCCAAGGAGGTTATCCTTGTAACCTCCTTCAGCCCCTACACCCCTCCCTATCTCCGTCACCTCCTCTGGCCCCTACACCTCCTGCCTATCTCCGTCAGTTCCTCCAGCCCCTACACCACACCCCCCCCATCTCTGCCACCTCCTCTGGCCCCTACAGCCTCTCCCTATCTCCATCACTTCCTCCAGCCCCTACACCCGTGAGATCTTTCCTCCAACTCCAGCCTCTTGACCATCCCCTGATTCCAATCACTCTACTGTTGGCGGCCGTGCCTTCATCTGGCTGGGCCCCGAGGTCTGGAATTCCCTCCCGAAACCTCTCTGGCTCTCACTTGCTTCTATTTTAAGACACTCCCTAAATTTCCCCTTGCTTTTGGCCACCTATCCCCGATATCTCTTTACATGGCTCAGTGCCAAATTCTGCTTGATAATCACTTGGCTTGAGAATGGTTCCCAGCATTAAAGGCGCTGTACGGAGGTAAGCTGATGATGAATTGGGCCATTGATGACCCAGACACAGCTGCCCATTGGCTTGGCCAATTGGAATCACCTTAACATTACCAAAACAGCTTTCCCTTGGGCTACACCATGCCCCATCCCCATCCCCTTCTCCCACCACCACCCCACCCCCCACCCCCCTCAACACACCAGTGGGCTTTGGGCTATGAAAATACTCTCTTCAGCAACCCAGATCTTCAAAACCAGGAAGAGAGACAGACAGAGGTTGCCTGTTGAACAATCTCCACCCTTGAATCCACCCACCAAACTGGATCCAATCCTGCCCTCTAGCCAAAGCTATCGGGGTAATCCCAGCTGATAGCACAACTGGACAAGACTGAAATCTGGCTTTACTTTCGTTAACATGGCGATCAGTCGCTGAAACACAGTCGCACGAAGCTTAAGAGTTTCTTCAACGACAGAATTGATTACAAAATAAGACAAAAATAAAAACAAAACAAAACCAAGCCATCTAGACATTGAACACAGCAAGAAGTATCTTACAATACACAGCAAAACATTGTTTTACAACTTTCTTCCCAATCACATCACTTTATAGAGATGCAAATCCAGAGAAATGATGCCTCGATATCAAAACTTTAAGTTTTACTTAACCAATTCTCCTCAGCTTCTGTCCAATGAACTATGGAATCTTTTTACATGAACATTCATGAAACCAAGAACTTAAATCTTCTTAGCTTTTAATAACCTGCAGATTTCTCATTAACACTGCTGGTATGGAAGTTGCACACACTAAACTTGTTTGCTGAAGTAACATTCCATTAAACTCGTAAAAGCTTTTCAAGAAACTATAGTTGGCTCTCACATCAGTCAGGTCTCCTTCCAACTAACTACCCAAAAAAACTCTCAATCTCTAGTTTCTTCAACTACAATCGATCCTCAAATATCCTGAACCGAAACCAAGCTGACGACCTTCAGTGTTTACCCTGCCAGTCATAAACAATTTTCCACAAACATTCCGGCGTCCCCTGAACTTTGACACATTAGGTCACTGTTCCTGCATCTGACATTTACTGTTCATGAAAGTAACCCTCTCTTTCATATGCCACTATTTTGAAATCCAAACTCTTGAAAATGGTATTTATCGATCACACACCTTTCATCAGATGACACACATTACCTTTCTTCAACAAAGCCGGGGTTCAACGGGTTGGACATAGACCTCCCAAGTCAGAAGGTCACAGGTTCAAGTTTACAATCCAGGCTAACAAACCAGATGCCCACTCCAAGGGATTGTGGGAGGTGCCACCTTCTGACTGAGGCCTTCAACAACGTGCCTATCCTCTTTTTGTGTCAGGTTGAGTGTTGTAAAAGACCCGCCAGCCTTTCAGAAGGAGTGCAGGGGACATTCTCTCGGCTTCCCAACCCTCCCAACACTGACCATGTCCTGGGGCTAACAGGAAGTGCCCAGTCAGTTTCACAACATCCGCCCCTGGGATCCTGCTGTCGACAAACGCTTTCAACAAAATGTTTACTCTTTGAAAGGGAGCCACTCACTGGCTGTGGCTCATTTGGATGTCGTGGGGCAGAAGGCACTACAGAAACGTGAGACCCTTCCTCCCCACATCCTGAGCCCGAGATGTGGGGTTCAGCCAGGTCTCAAGCCTGGGATCTCCCCGAGACCGTGCGCTTTAGGGCTGGAGCAGGACCCTGCACACGCCCCTGCCCTCTGACCCCCATATCCCTCGGAAACCTCCTGCCGCAAAACAGACCCGGAATCAAACAAGCCATGTCAAGTCCCAAAAATAACCATCCTTCACGTACAAACAACCTCCACCCTGTCCCGAAAATACACACTGGACTGGCACGTTGCAACAGACAGCATCCAAGCAAATGCAGCACTCACCTCCACACAGGCGGCTCACAGTGAACGGTCACAGTTGTCCCAACTGGGGCCAAGGGTCAGTCCTGTGGAGGGGGCAGAAACAGACAAACAAACCATTAGTACACAGGAACATGGAGTTGGTTGGCGGTGGGGGGAGAGACAGATGGAGCAGTGAGAGAGACAGAAGTGGGCAGAGTGCGACAGGGAGCAGAGAGGGGCAGAGACAGGACGTAGAGACGGAGAGGCAGAGACACAGACAGACAGAACGAGACAGGGAGACAGAAAGCAAGAGGCAAATACACTAAGGGAGCAGAGAAACCAGGACAGAGAGAAACAAACTGAGGTGTAGAGAGGGAAATGAGAAAGACTCACACAGCAAGGATCGGCAGTTGTGTTACATTAATAACAACTTCTACAGTGTGACCTTGGTCGCTGCACAACACAGCTTCTCCCACAGTACAGACCCAACGTCAGCACCCAGCATACACACAGTAAGGCATTAGATACACATTAAATAAAAACAAAGTGCTGGGCAAACTGGGAACCGTAGGAAAGTTATATTTGACTCGTAACATTAACTGTTTCTGTCTCCACAGATGCTGCCAGACCCGCTGAGTTTCTCTGGCTTTCTTTAAAAAAAGTTTCGGAATTCCAGTATCTGCAGTATTGTATTTCACAGGACAAAACTCCTTCTGCTCTTTGACACTGAAAGTGAAGCTCTCTCTACACTGTCCCTCATCAAACACTCCCAGGACAGGAACAGAAGGAAGTCAGATACAGAGGAAAGCTCTCTCCACGTTGTCCCTCATCAAACACTTCCAGGGCAAAACGTGATTAGATTAATTTAGGATATCTGGTCGGCATGGACGAGTTGGACCGAAGGGTCTGTTTCCGTGCTGTACATCTCTACTACAGGGACAGCATAGGGTTGCAGACAGAGTAAAGCTCTCTCTACACCACCCCCCACAAACACTCCAGGAGGGGGACAGCACGGGGATAGACACAGAGTAAAGCTCTCTCTACACCGTCCCCCATCAAACAATCCCAGGACAGGGACAGCACAGAGTTAGATACAGAGTAAAGCTCCCT